TAAAGGACGATCGTTTGACTGTTGACCGTGACCCCTCATCAGAAAAATGTCCAACATGAGAAAGTGGAGCCGAGTGCAGATTTACAACAAAAATGGACTTATCTGTTTACAGACAGTTCATGTTCAAACTTTGTGTTGAAATTGTATTTTTCTTAAAGTTTCAGGTTGTTCATAATATTATAATATTTTGTAAAAGAAGAGTTCATCAGTTAAAAAAGATTTGTAATAGATTTGTGTTTCTCTGCACAAATATTTGAACTTCTTGTTATTTTTGGGGTTTATATGACATGAGTTTTCTGATCCGGTTGGACTCGACGCCCGAACAAAATGACTCTGACTCGTCTGGAGGTTTTTACTCTGGGGGTTTTGAGGTTTTGGGTTTTGTCGTATTTGTCGTTTTGTTCCTTTTATTCTCCTAAAATGTTTTATGAGTTCCACTTTTGTTTTTGACGCTCTGAGTTGTTCCTCTTTGCTCTCTGTGCTGAGTCCCTCCCCCTTCAGAGCGTCGGCTTTGTCCAGTCGCTGTGTTCAGTTTTGTGTCGTGTATTTACGGAGAACTGGGGGCGGAGCCTCGTACAGACTCATACTGTGGGAGCGTGTGGGCGGAGCCTCGTACAGGCTCGTACTGTGGGAGCGTGGGAGGCGGAGCTAAACATAAGGAGGGTTTGAACAGGGCCTGCAGAGATCACTAGATGACTCAAACACACATGAGTGTAGAACATGTTGAGGAACGTCGTTAGAACAAAGAACGAGACAAACTGGAGTCACCTGACGTCAGGATCCAGGTGAAGTCCTTCTGCTCCAGCGCCGACAGGAAACAGCTCTGAGGTCACAGAGGTCACACAGAGGTCACACAGGGGTCACACAGAGGTCACACAGGGGTCACACAGAGGTCACACGGGGTCACACAGAGTCACACAGACCACAGGTCACACAGAGGTCACACAGAGGTCACACAGGTCACACAGAGGTCACACAGGGGTCACACCAGAGGTCACACAGAGGTCACACAGAGGTCACACACACACAGGGGTCACACAGGTCACACAGAGGTCAGATTCAGTATCGGGATCTGAGTATCGGGGAGTCGGGTCTGGAGTATCGCGGGTCTGGAGTATCGGAGTATCGGGTAGTCGGGTCTGGAGTATCGAGTCTTGGAGTATCGGAGTATCTATGAGTATCGGGGAGTCTATCGGAGTATCGTCGGGTGGGTCTGGAGTATCGGGTCTGGAGTATCGGGTCTGGAGTATCGGTATCTGGAGTCTGGAGAGTATCGGGTCTGGAGTATTCGGAGTATCGGCTATCGGAGTATCGGGTCTGGAGTATCGGGTCTGGAGTATCGGGTATCTGGAGTATCGGGTCTGGAGTATCGGGTATGGAGTATCGGATCGTATCGGGTCTGGAGTATCGTATGTCTGGAGTATCGGGAGTATCGGTCGGTTCTGAGTATCGGAGGAGTATCGGTCTAGTATCGGGTTTGGAGTATCGGTCTGGAGTATCGAGTCTGGAGTATCGGGTCTGGAGTATCGGGTCTGGAGTATCGAGTCTGGAGTATCGGTCTGGAGTATGGAGTCGATCTGAGTAATCGGTCTGGAGTATCGGTCGCGTCGGTCGCGGGGTCGTGGGCGGGACACTCACGCTGGCGTCGTGGCTCCAGTGTTTGGCGTTGAGGCCGAAGGCTGTGATTGGTCGGCTGCACAGGAAGTTGCAGTGGTGGGGCCCAGGTGCATCGTGGGAGACGGAGTTCAGAGCCGCGACGTCGATGAGAAACACCGGAAGACGACAAGACTGAGACCCGGACAAGAAGGACCGGACCACCTGCTGTGAGAGAACCAGGACTGAACCAAGACTAAACCAGGACTAAACCAGGACTGAACCAGGACTAAACCAGGACTAAACCAGGTCTAAACAGGACTCTAAACCAGGACTAAACCACCAGGACTAAACTAACCAGGACTAAACCAGGACTAAACCAGGACTGGAACAGGCTTAAACCAGGATAAACCAGGACTAAACCAGGACTAACCAACCAGGTAAACCAGGACTAAACCCAGGACTAAACCAGGAAACCACCCAAGACTAAACTAAAACAGGACTAAAACAGGACTGAACCAGGACTAAACCAGGACTAAGACCAGGACTAAACCAGACTAAACCAGGAAAACCAGGTCTACTAAAAACCAGGACTAAACCAGACTAAACAGGTCTAAACCAGGTCTAAACCAGACTAAACCAGGACTAAACCAGGACTAAACCAGGACTAAACCAGAACTAAACCAGGACTAAAACCAGGACAAACCAGGACTGAAAACCAGGACTAAACCAAGACTAAACCAGGACTAAACCAGGACTAAACCAGGACTAAACCAGGACTAAACCAGACTAAACCAGACTAAACCAGGACTAAACCAGGACTAAACCAGGACTAAACCTAAACCAGGTCTAAACCAGGAACTAAAACCAGGACTAAAACCAGGACTAAACCAGGACTAAACCAGGA